GCTTGTTAATATTATGGTCGACACGACACGACAGGCACTTGCACTCATGTGAAAAATCGGCTAAATCCATTCTATATCACTCACACCAACCTCTTCATTCACAACTCTTCCCTTGTATCTCATCAGACAGGACCAGAAGCCTATATGGAAAACTATATGCTCGCACAAGAAAGTACAAGAACTCAACCATACCTTGCTTGGTTCGTGTTCTGTGCGATAAAGAAAGCATTTGGCGTCAAACTTATGACTTATTAAATAGTCAGTAGGACAAGTGCATCTCGCCTTTCCAAATCATATCAACGTTTTCTTTCGTTCTTTCTTTTCTTTTTCTCTTTTTTGTTATGTGCTGTTTAGTTTCTCTCTTCCTTACAAACTCTACTTAAAACATTCTTCTTCGTTCTTTCACACTATGTATATCTCGACCCTTTTGTTACCGCTTACGCTAGTAAATATGGCAGTATTTACTTTTCTAATACCATCAAAAATTCTGTTCACATTTTGGCTTTAATAGCAATATGCTAATATGTTGTTGTCAAAATTAACTGAGACTACCCATAATCCATGTAGAATTTTATTCAATGTTAATGCAGAAACTGGATGCAATACTGTAGTGAAATGCTGAGAATTCCATTCTGTATCACAAGTAGTGTTTTGGAATAAACCAAATTATTGTTATTACAATTATTATTATCTTCGGAACTTCATATTCCCTCCTAACATGCAAGATTCAGTATTCTAGAGCATAACATTCCTGATGAATAAGCAGTTCATGCCTAACATATATTACCAAGTCAACCTATATATTACCGTATTCATTAGTAAAAGTTACATTTGTATAGATCTAAGCGAAACTGAATTGAAAAAAATTCCAGCCTTTCTTTCGACAAACTGGTTCGAAATTCTCCAGGGAAATTTTCATTGCCGCGCTAGTGAGCTCTAACTCCTACCAATTTGTAGCGCAACCAGTAAATTTTGTCGCTATCACTGGAGCGTTGAATGATTCCTCGAATTCATTAGACAATAGCATTATTCACTCATCATCACTCGATGTTGACCTTCAATGTTCAGGTTGACTTGTTATGCTAAATGTTCGCTGCCAAGCGTCTACACCATTCGCCACGTTCGGTCTATCGTACACATTCCCTGTCAAGTCAGGAATTCATCATCCCACTACGATTCCGATCCTTGAATATCTCCCTGTCACTCTCTGTGTGTCTCTTATTGTGGATGATCGTGTTCCTGCTTTGATTTGTCTCTCTTCTGATCAGAACAATCACCACATGAGTTGGTGAATTACAACTTTCCTTTATATACAGCATAGTTATGCGGAGATGTCGATATTTTTCTTCTCCTATATCAACACTTTCATGAATATTATCTTCCTCATTTCCCTGTTCATATGATCTACTCCACGTCAGTCTAGGACGTCCAACTCATCACTTCCCACTCGGATTCCAATCGACTTGTACGTAATACGTAACCAAGATTTTACCCGTCTGTTATGTAACTTTACATTTATGTGAGAGACAACTTTATAAAAATCGAAATGTGATTTTGAAATGTTCATAGTATTTCTTTAACCAAGCAGTATCAAAGCACATAAGTCTGTGCGAAGGACTAACTACCTGAATAGATAGACTGATAGAATTCAGTCTGTACGACACTAGACGCATGACATTAATGTCCAGTCAATGTATGCGTTAAATTCCTACTGGAGGTAGGTGATCATGCGAGTCACGTCACTGGTAAAGTCTCTTACTCCAGCACTGGATGACCCGGATTCGAATCTCAGCAGAGATATGAGTTCCTTCAAGACTGCAGACACGTCTTGTTGGTGAGTGCCAATATGCACAAAACACACGTACAGACAGAATATCCTGCTGACTGACTATAAATATCTAACAACAAGTCTGCAGTTGTGACATCATAACTGACTCTCATTGATGGCATTAGCCGAAGTTCTATTCAGTCAAGTCTGAATTGGACCTACTAGGATACAAGGATAATATGAGCTCGCCTTTCACTATGTCGAAGACTCTACTCAACTGGCTACAGCTTCTTCCTAGATGACAAGAAGTAAATGGTAGGAGAGTAAAATAAGTGTAAAATAAATCTGGAGTGATGTAGGTTGTTAACTACTTGAGAGTTAAAAGGAAGGGCCAACATGGAAAAAGCCAAGATTGAAGTCCGCTTTCTGTCAGACAAACCACTATGTCTGATATTTCGATAACACGTTCGTAATTTGTGATTATTTCAGTGAAGCGTCTCAAATATTAGACGTCCTGAATAGTGTTCATACTATTGTTCGCTGTCAAAGGATTAGAGGGAGATTTGTGGTGGCAGAAAGCGACACTGGTGATTATTTCACCACCTTAGTGATAACAAAGTATATAATTTTACTAAATCATCTACTGTCCTGTTTAGGAAATTTTTTACTGTCTCCCCTAAGCATGACTAGCCTGAACTCCGTTTTCTGCTACTTGGTAAAGTCATATTTTCTGTAGTTACGTAACCTACTATGCTGCAATACTCTTTGTAGTCGAACTTTGTTTCTAACCAAAATGAATTTGGTTGGAGGATTCAACCATGAGCTGACATCAGTTAGAGGACCATTGGAAAACTGATAGAGAGTAGAGCCAGACAGCTGTTTCGTCAGCCTAGTTTGTGAATTGTTGGCAGTTCGCTCACACCTTACTGCCAGTTTTGAACCCTAGACCATCTGGTTACAAGGCGAGCTAGCTCGTAGACCATTTGTTTCTATCCAAATCTCTCCAAAGCAACACTTGAATATCAATGAGGTGGTCATTATCGACTTGCCCTTTTTCAGGTAGGTAGTTACCTGGGGTTCCAGTGAGACGTCGTGACCAGTAGAGTGCAGCAAGTCGGGTGACAGGACAAATACTCGACGAAGTCTTTGGCTAGGGTTCGCTCTATTTCGTTAATTGGCAGAAGTTATAATTCATAGGCCAATGGATAGGGTCTCAGTGGCCTAATGGTATACGAGCTGGCCTTTTAACCAGAAGGTCCTGTGTTCGAATTATGGTGAGTGCGTACTGCTGAAGAATCACAAATGAGGAGGAAACAGCTGTCCAGTACTCACAGGCTTTCGAATAGTTCTCTAACTAATGTCATCACATGATGAAATCGTGTAACGAAAATGACTTTGGTTTCGGGAATTCATTATGAGCTGATGTAATATTGTCCACACACTGAAAACTCCTTATTTGTATCGGAAGTACTCTTTGGTATAAAGCTACCTTTATTATCATTCTGACTTGTGACATTGAGTAACACAAGTCCCAGCGATCCATTCACAACTCGATGTCTTCCTACTTCATCACATAGCATACCTCTCTTACTAACAAACAACAGAAAACAAAAACTTGAGATTAAATCACCACTCACTGACTACTACTCAAAGCCGTATACACACCGTCTAGGTGTGTCTATTCCGATAAACTACTCATTCGACCAATTTGTTAAACTGAACTTCACCTTTTCCCTCCTCTTCCTCGGGTGGAATACACTTCTAACTCTTCGTCTATTCGTCAAGACAATTCAGTATCACTGTTTACACACTAGCTGACCTGAAAATGTCTATCTTCGTTTCACAGGATGTCAGTTGAAAACTGGTAACAGTCAGACTATGGTAAGTTGGGGAAGCTGTTGGTGAGAAGCTCACCACCGGATATTCGCCAACTCTGATAATTATTTCCATTCAGACTTTTCAGAAATGCTGTCACGAAGCTTACAATACTAGCTAGCTAGCTTGATGAGAACTGCTCATTAGTGGCCCTGTGTGCTAAGAACACGTAGGCTCCTTCGCTGACACCAGGAAGATAGTTGACCTTACATTTTATCTACTGAATCATTGATCTGTTTTCCGAAAACCACTACATTTTCGACACACTAGTCTAGCCCCCATTTGCATTCTTAGTCGCACTCCATCCCCCCCCCTCTCCTTCCTCACCCACCACATTAATCCGCTACAATACAAATTTCATCATACAACCAACTACATCACTTAGCGTAGCGAATCAGCAGTACCTACCTACCTTCCTTGCACCACTCAACCACAGATAGAACGCAACAGCACCTACACATCTCATAGATAACACGAACCAACTTCCGATCATTGATTCAGAACCACACACCATCATCATTATTCTTCATTCATCTGAAATCATCCCTTGTCAGGACGGTTACATACACCCTTGTTGTCATTAGCATCTGTACGCATTAGTGTGATTCATCGATATTACTATTGCTATTATTTTCATTCCCGTTATTACTACTATTATTATGATTATTATTACTATCACCACCAGCCATGTCATTCGACTTGCAATTCTCCATACATTTGAGTTATTTCTCTGATAACTAGTTGTTCATTCAAGTGGTGTCACTGAACCGTGAGACATCACAGTCACATCTATTAATTACTCACTCACTCACACCCACACAAACACAGTGTCAAGTGGATTCTCCACACTAACTCTGGTCAATTGACCCTCCTATCATCACTTGGCGAAAACACAATTTCATCCATAGAAAGAATTCCAAACGTACTTACAAGCTGACTACACTCGCCGCTCAAACTACCTACAACCACATTCCTACCGTCTCACGTCTAGACATTTGCAAGCTCAACAGAAATCTCTTAAATCCAATACAACTTTTCCATCACACATCTGTCGTCAACACACACACACATACCCGCTCGAATCCCACGTGCTCACACCACATCATCACATCACTAGCAGACAAATCACGCACGTAGAAGTCAAAACTACAATCCGAACAGTCACATCGTCACACGTCCCATACAGACAATATCCTAGAATCAATAATCGAATTGTCAGGTGTGCACGCGTCTTCACCAGTATCATCACACCATTACCGTCACCTATATGCTACTCCGTGACCGTGATCGCACCCTAACAATTAACTATCTCTTCAACAAACTACGCTCAATTAAATCGAAAAGCCAAACAACAAGGATCAAAATAAAGTGCAATTTATATAAAAATAAAATATCTCCTCACAAGTAAAACATCCCGTCAACTTGGCTGCTGTGAACTTTAAAACGACCACCGTCCAACAGAATCTCTGGCTTCTCCACGTCCGATAACCATTCACGAGCACGAAATGCAGCCAAGTGAGAATAATAAGTTGGCGCTGGATACGAGACACTACGCGAACACCTCATATACGCATAGCATAGGTGGTAGGTGAACAACTGCAAACCGTCCGACGTCCAGTCACTGTCATCATACAAAACGTGATAGTGAGCAGGTTTCGAAGTGCCCTACAAAATACGCAATCATATTCATCGGCTAACAACAACAATTTACCTGAATCCCTTCTTGTGAGCACAAGTAGAAATCGAATTCCCTGGGATGTGTGATGTCTGTATCAACCACCGTCCCTGGCTCCACGTTTCTCGCCCTACAAAAACAATCGAAACAACAAATCGTTATTCTTAACACGAACGCCCTCACACACGTGAGCAAGGACAACAACAACAACAACAAAGATACAGTGGCTCCACACAAAACATCATGTGTGTAAACACCTCCTACTTACCTAGGCTCGCTCGGTCGAAACCGAATGTGGTGACGCTTCTGCACAACAATATACGTGATCGCGGGTTCTTCACCAGGACGAATGTCTGCACAAGCTCTCTGAATCGCCGCCAACTCCTCTACCAACACATTCTCGAACTGGCCTTCCGAGACGCCATCACGATAGAATATGATACGCGTTGGGAAACGACCGTTCGTATTTCGCAAGTATACCTGCAAAACAACAACATAAACAAGCAACAACAGAAGCGTGCTCCAACAACAACAACACCAACCAGCAACATCAATCACTTCACAGTTGGCCCACAATGAAAACTAACCTCAAGCAACTCCTTCACAATAACACGCATGTCGTCGATTATTTCTCTCGCTCCCTTATTCCCCTTTTCTGTCGTCGCCTGTTGGCGGATCACCACAGCGTACCTCATTAGATCTGGTGACACACTACCAATAACAGCAGCCACCGACTTCCGAATTTCACCATGAGTTTGTGTCGGCGCCGGATGGGTCACGTCTGCCCCAAACACCATCAGCAACTCACCACTGTTCTTAATCAGGTCGGGGATCTGCCAGTTCACACCACCCAATTTCCCATTCAGCTTCAGTAACAGGTTCGCTGAACAAAGCACAAATTAATCCCATTAGTTAAAGTTAAGCTTGTCGAAATACACAAACAGAAAACAAACGTCACACGTAAACAGTAGTAGCAAGCACTTACGGCAAACGTTCGCCTTCTCCAGAGTACGACCAAGTACACACTGTGTACGGATACCCATTTGCAGGTCACTCAGGCGTTTAACTGCCGAGTAGTTCCGCTCGTCGTACAAGATTAGAAGCACAAACGAACAGCCTTGTCTACTGAAATCTTCAAACTTTCTGCCAAGTTCTCCTGTAGGACATTGTGCCACAATAGGTCGAGGGCTTAGACGAACCCCAAAGCGACTTCCTGCTCTAGGCATTTCTGACATCACCTTTTGTATGTGACTCTGAGACCGCTACAAAGAAAACATAGTAGGCGAAATAGGCACTTAGTACAAGCGTTTCACTTGGCTGATAACAATAATAATAATAATAACAACAATAACAACATCTGCCTCTCAACAACACGCATCACAATCAAGTGGACAGTCAGTTTTTCGAAAGTACTTCACCTATTTGACTAACAGGAAAGTGGGAATCCAGCATTCTATACACACCATTAAACGCTGACACATCAACACGGATGATATCACGCAGTGATATGCCCGGTGCTGTGAACAACGAAGTGGCGTGCCTGTCATCAAACAACACGCCTCCATATTGTCAAGCTAACTCTGATTCACAAATCACTGCATCTAGAATGTGAATTCAATGCCCAAGTGATGGCAGAACACATCTTCCTCCTTACACTACACTACACTAATCACTCATCGTCGTCATCGCCACCGTCTTTCGTACACAACTCGAGTGAACAACATACCTGATTAGGTGGAACACAAAGTATGGCCCACATCAGCTCCACTCCCTTGCCAGCTGGCTCATGAAAGTCAGGTGACATCCAGCTACCTGCCTTTAGCGGTTGCACACCGGAACGACCAAATTTAGCACTTGGCGGCTGCAGAACACGTGCCTTCACTTCCACTGGCCTCGGCTCGATCGCCAAACCAAATTGTTCGATCAGTGGGTGTGACCTGGATGAAAGAAATGAAACAAGTGTTGTCATGCCAGTCAACAGAAACCCTCATTATCACAAACAATAAAGACATTAAAGTGAAATATAATACCGGGCTCTCAAATAACATCACCTACATACACTATTATCTCCATCTAGGCATACTTAGTCCACAATCAACACCTCTTCACTAGCATCACACGGTTAACAAACACGACTCTAATTCTCATGTCTCCGTGTGGCGAATTACATGTTCTGTGACGAGTAATCACTACCTAGAGATTGACACAAATAACCGATGAAATGTTCCCCCTTCCTAACAATTTTAGACGTACGACAAAGCCTCGGCTGTCTGCTTCTGCACCTACAAAACTCCCTGGCTTAATCTTATTTCAACGAGGGCTATTCTACTCAACTCATGTTTCTCCACGTTTACAATTTCGGCTAACACAACGGATATCAGACACCTCGAACCAAACAACTCGTCTAATATCATGCTTCCATTCTCATCCCTAGTTTCCAACGTATCCCTGTGTGCAGATGGAAATCAGTTTCCAGTGTTGAGAAAGCTAACTAAGTTAGCTGCTGACAGTGGAAATCACCTAACGAGCATTCATTCAACATGCTCCTCCTCCTTCTCCTCAACTTCTCTCCGCCTCTTGCATCATGAGTAAGCAACATCATCACGTCGTCAGTACTCAGTCGTAGTGCATCATCAACAACGCGGAAATAACATCATCTTACTTCAGCATATTGTTAGCAAAGTTTTGCAGCTCTTGGAAACGTTCCTGCGGTCGAACTGCCGAACACCGGATCACTTCGCTAGCAACATCCGCTTTACTCGCATTAGGAGCTTGATACGGTAGTATGTTCAACAACTCCATAGGCATATACACCTCCCGCTTCTGATCAACCTAACAAAATAAAATATCATCATCAATCAAATCACAAATCACCTACCTTCACACAAGGCAGCTCTGGATACTTCAGTGTGATATGATGATGCCTCTTAAAATATTCTGCCACCGTCTCATTCACCTCCTCAATCATTAGACGATCAGCTGGTAGTGACGACATCCCGTGCACAGTGAACCGTCGCGAATACATCCTACCTGGAAGGCGTCACGTATAGGTATAACAGAGTAAAATATACATATACACGCATACCACTGTCGCTCCTGTAAAACTTCTCACTCTCCACTCTGATTCTTCTCAAGTCACGGGCCATTTCTTCACTGCACCGAGACATCCCATCGCCATACTTTGCGTACATCACGTCCGCCAAATTCCCAGACGTAAAGTACGCCTTGCACGTCTGTCATAGTGTGTCAAAACAAGCAATATCATCACTTACCATATCCAAGTTTACACGGACCTTCCACTGAGGTCGCACACTACTAATAAAACCTTTATGGATGCTGAAGAGTTTATCCGCGACAACTCTAATCGGTTTCGCCTCGAACAGGGCTGAACGTCCAACAGAAACGAACGACTGTCTAGAGACTGTTTTCAGAATACAATCCAATAGCCTGATGGACTCCTACAACCAAGTGTCAAACAACAAATCTAATCTCGTCTCACCTGGGGCATATTCATCGAAGTCGCCTTCGGATTCTTTATAAAATGATCAACATCAGAAGTAGACACTCGCTGTACTTCCATAATACGATACTTTAGGAGAAGGCGATCACGACCAAGCGGGTCTTCGATCTCCATCTCCTTCTCCACAGGGTCCGTTGTAACACCCGTTAACGGGTCTTCAGAGTATATTGCGTGCCCTCCATCATATACCACCGTATCTGGAAAGCTGTAAAAGCAAACCATACAAGCAAATTTCATTAGCATCAGACTCATCAACAGACACGATTAGTGTCAACTCAAGCCATACCGAACGACTCTACCATCTTTTCATAAACGCATCTGATATTCGCGAAAGTCATTATTCAGTCAATCACGTAGGACATGAAACAACAACTCATCCCAAACCTGTACCAATCTCTCCTTGACAAGCACATTATAATGATAGCAATCACACACTACAACAAGTCAAGCAAACAACTCACCTCAATAACACAAATACAACACAAAGTTTTAACACATATGTAAACAACGTATTTCAAGATGAAAGCATAACTGCACTTACGAGCTAGCTACTTGTTGTGTCAGAGATTGCAACTCCCTCGGTGGCATTCTTATCTCCGTCTTACTGCCCTCCTTTGAGTCCAGACGGTATACTGAGATCGCCTCAACAAAGTACAAGTATACCGTCTTCTGATGGAAAGCAAGGTCCCAACAATTTGAAGTAACTCTCACTGTTCTCCCGACTGTGCCACCTTCATCTGGTCTGTTTGGAATTCCCACTGGCCTCTGCATGCTTAGTCTGAAGTAAAGAAATTCATTCGCCAACGTTATCAATCAAAGGAAGCAATGAGGCCAATCACTACTCTTACACTTTATTCCATTTCAACTTACTTTGAAAGCTCACAAGACACGTCACACCTGAAACAATCAAAACAAAATTAGACAGTTAGGCAGCAGCAACACAAAACACATCTTGTGGAATCTAGAAAGACAAAACGGCGGATACTACTCACACAGCTTTCTTCATACACTGGCTTTTCTTTTGGCGAGCAGCTTCCAAGGTAGCCTCGTTTTCCAGTCGTAATGACGATGCTATGTCACCACGTTCACAAGGTACATGCGCGCTCCATGCAGGCTTCTTCCACACCCCTGGAACATCACCAACACGTGACCTGAAGCATGAAACACAATACACATATACAGGGCTATTTCTTAATTCATCTAGTAGCTTTCACAATAGAAACACTGTCAACGTTAATATCACACTCTCATATATTCCTGCCTAACAGATTCGGTCAGAGGTGAAACCTTCACATCACAAGATCAACTCATAGTCAGTCACGTCTACGCTAACTCGTATTCAAATATCAAAACTCAATCCAATGATGACTGCCACTCACTCAATCGTGTGTACACGGTTCAACACAAACAACAGTTAGACAAAGACATATATACACTTACCGATCTGTTGACGGGTTACGTTGAAATGATGGATACTCAGTAGGTTGTGAAGATCTGCAAGAGAAACAACACTTTTAACTTCCAACACAATGAAAACGGTGACAAAATCATATAAAACTGCTTCTTCACACTGTCGAAAATCACCTCCTCGAGAAAGGCCGCAACTAAAGCTCTTCTGAACGGTGTCCAACCACAATACCATACAACATACACACTAATCTGATTCACTAAGTGGCACGATTGCTTCCCATTAAAGCAGCCTTCGATTATTCGTGCGCTTCACGTTCCGGAAATCCGAGTAATCCCATGAACATACAATCACAATAAAGTAACACATCTCTCACCAAACAGGAAACCCAATCATCCACATCAGACTATTAACTAGGTACAAACTTCACTACACTAGATCCGAAAAGCTTCCAATCTCTATGCAGAGAAAACCACTTCCGGAGAATCCACATTGGTTTCTACAACACACTGGATTGCAATCACTCACGTCTAGTGACAGGTGCACACAACACAGCACATATCCACCATTACACAAGCACAAGCGAGTCAATACCCTCTCAATCGTCCACTTTCTTCCTAATGAATCATACGCATCCAACGTACTCCAAAAACAGACCAAAAACTACGTGAGGGAAAAACCTGCCAACTTACCCATATCCTCTTTCACCTCGTGGTCCACCACGACCTCTTCCACCTTGACAACTCGGGGGCGGACTAAAACAAAACGAGAACAAATGTTTCGCAAAGTAACATGCACGATAAGGACAGACTACACAACACGTATCACAGCACAACAGACACAAACTCGTTACGCCAACTCACCCGTACAACTCTCGTTCATCGAAGCTGAAATTGAAAATCAAAACTCATCAGTTAAACATCACTCAATGTGAGACAAATTAATATGAAGTCAGGTGTCGAAGTGACAACAACTACAACTAGCTAGCCCTCAGTTTCACCTATTCTTATCTAATGCATCAACTTTTCGCTGTAGAAACAAACTACTCCACCTATCTGTCAAGCTTCACTCTACTGCATCAAACTTGTTTCACCGAAACTCAGATGACATCAATAGTCATGACTCACTAGGTAGCTTATCTCACCTCTAATGCTTCTAGAAACACAGTGCCAAGTCATATGAGTGATGTCTTAGCCAAAAATGATATCCTGCACCTCAGCTTTCCACCAACTCGTCGTCTATTCCCAAACTAAAATATGCATCACAATATCATGGAATCTCACAATCGTGGAAAGTCATGATAAGAAATCCAGACTCACCCACACCCACGACGTCCATCCGGTCCGCGAGGACCTCCACGACCATCATATCCTCCACGTCCACGAGGTGGTCCGTAAAAGCCTCTACAAAACACAACAGAATAACCTAGTGCTTCAACGACTGTCATAAACAATCAGGCATACAACATAATTTACACTCAGCAACAACCTCAACACGCAAATCTACCGCGAAGTAAGCTCACTTCACCAACTATCGTCTCTAACAGCCTCACATTACTGGGAAATAACTCCCTGCCGTTGACGCCAGTATATCCACCTTCTTTCTTTCACACACAGACACACACAACAACAACAATAATAATAATCCTCACTATTACACCACACATGTTATCTGCTGACGACAGTCCCAGTATGGCACTCACGCGTCATCTCTACATCAGGCAACACACACCCCTTGCATCAATGACAACATGCATTCATTTTCAAGACGACATTCACTGTAAACAATGTCCTTTAACCCATCAAATAGCCATTAAGAGTAGACAGGGTCGACAATTACTCGACAGCATGCAGAACCACGCACAATTGTCGTTAACGTCAAATCCCATACTCACACAGACATTCTCGCAACAATCAAATGAAAGACACACAAGCTAACCTGCCCGACATCCTGCCAAGTACGTATGAGCAGCACAAGCAGTAGCAGTAGCAGTAGTAGTGGTAATGGTAACACCAAAGCCAACAGTAACAGTAGTCACCGCACTACACCAGTTCGACGTGATTCGGCGCCCGATGATCTGACTAAACAAGCTACCAATTTCCAATATCTCTTTGAAGAGCTAGTGTAATCCAATTTGATTTCATTGTCCCTACTTCTTCGCTAGGTAGCAAAATATCCTGATATTTGGTAGACTTGTGCTTAGTCTGTCCCATCACTCGACTGGCGTAGCTTTGGTTGACTCCAAGGTGAATGGTGTGGGCATTGGTTATGTGTAGTTTGCATTATGCGATGTGTTGAGACCATGTTACTGCCAGGAAGCTCGTTGATCGTTTCCCCCCTGTGGTCGTCCAGGGTGATGAGAAATTGATATAAAAATAATAGGAGCAACAGTAGATATAATCAGTGTAGGCTATGTAGACTTTCAACAAAAAATGCACAAACGGATAGCTAATGGAATTTATTAATTCAGAATAAACGCAGAGAAACGACTGTGAAATAACAAGGAGAGTTGAGAAGTGCACCCACTAACAATGCGGTATGTGAGTATTAGGGGATAAACCATTCGGATGCAGTTATTATCTCACTAGGTGATTATCCAACCTCCGCTTAAAGCCTCCCACGAATGCCGCATTGACCATAGCCACACGTACGATGACCTAGGAGAAAACTGAAATTGAAGCGCACTCGAATCTTCAGCATCTGATGCTCTATCCACCGTGGGCTGGTTCGAGAAAGCCCAGTAATGACTGAATGACAAGATACCTCTGTTTGAGTGATTCTGGTCACTCGTGGTATTTCATGGAATGATTTACTACGGGGAACCATCACTCGTCTCGTCACTCATCATTCAACCCCACGAAGACATCAGCAAATAATCCAGTTTTCACGACTTTCCACTGAGGCCCACCAACTCTTGTCTCCTACCTTCTCAACCATCCGAATCCCTCTGATTTTGCGTACTGGATTTCGCCTTAGAGTGCCTTGAGCATTCCTCGCCCCTAGTTCGAGGGTATTGATGTGGCGTTAAAAGAGTTGCTGGATGGAGGTGGCTGTTGGATGGCGCACAATAGACACTTGACTTATCCGATTATGACATGATACAGAGTAGAGTCTGGCAGTCCTATGTGCGTGGATCCATTGCATTGTGTAAGTTGTAATTATTTGCTGAAGTATATGACAACCACGCCTCCTTCGTTATCATCCCTGTCCGTCCTGAACACCCACGCATCAGTTATGTAATAATATATTTATTCCTGTTCATGTAGGAACATACCAATTTCACAGGCATGGATAAGTTATTATATAAATGACACATATTTCGATGTACGCTGAATTTACAGTTTGGTTGTTCTTTCTGACATTAGAGTCTGTCGGAACAGTCTGAAAAATAGTCTGTTTGTGTAACACATATAGAGATATAGAAATATTGTCTTCGCATTAACAAAAAACCCAGACATCAGATGAATGTAGTACAAATATTTGGGAAAAATAAAGCTTGAAGTCAATTCTCCTATATAACTTTGTTGTGAACAGCATCCTTGACTTGAAGTATACTGATGTGTTATTTTGAGGTCAGTGATGTATTTATTCCATTTTTTCAGCAGTCTAATCGTAATTTTATAATAGGAAAGAAATTTTATGGTGGATACGAAAACTAAATTAGGTCATGTTGAATTGGTTTACTGCATGGAATGGGGCCGAGGTCGATTCCAGAACTATCCATTGGCGTCATTTGTGTCAGCATGACAGACTGTACACGTAAGTTGAGTAATACATTGAAAACTGTTTGAAAACCAGTTGCTTGTTTATTTCAGATCATGAATACTCCTTGTACAGAATGTTTGCCAGCGTCTTCAAGTGGTAGCATGGGATTGTTCGTGGAATTTGAGTGGTTATGAGTTAAATGGTCTGGAGTCCAGACTCATTTCAGTTTAAATATGGGGTTGTTCGACCTCGACCAGGAGGTAAATAGAAGAGTAGGCTCAGCAGCATAATACCAGAAGGGGAAAGTATGTGAACATCAAAAGAACATTAATGTTTTCTGCATATATAAACGTTTCGATTAATTGTATTACAGTGTATAGCAAACATTACCTATATTCTAGTTGTTTTTCATGTATTTTTGTCAAGTCTTAGAGTTTATTTAGTGTCAATATTTAGTAGTGAGTCTAGGCGTTATAGTGTTCTAATAGCTGATGCGTTTTAGAAATGAGGGGTGCGGTCTGATTGGCATAGTCATTGGGATGAAACAGTTTACATAGGAAGCGTTTAAAACTTATAATAGTGACCGGTCCTCATTTATAGGGGTAAACTGTTCCAGATCTTAGAATACATGACTATGAAGAAGTTTGCACGGAATGCTGTCTTACAGTTTTTCCTAGATACTGTGCACGTTTGGTTACGCTGATTGTAGGAGCCTTCCGGTGAGAACAGTATCTCCTTACTGTCTGAGAATGATATCTTATGCAAGACTTTAAAGAAGAATGTTAGGTTAATGCTGCGTCTTCCTTTTTGCAGTCAAATCCTACAAGTTTAGACGTGAAGTATCGTTGGACACTTTCAATTTAAGTTTGTCACTTACGCGAGTGCTGCTGAGAATAAATGGACAATATTCAAGAAGGGATCTGACACAAGTTTTATATAATAATAGTCTCGCTCCGTAGTTGTGGAAATTCCTGAGTATGCATCCTAAGAGCATCCTCGATTTACGCGTCTGCGTTGCCACTTGCTCAGAAAATGTCAGGTCACTAGAGTACCTGAGTCCTAGGTCAACAACACTTTGGAGTTCAGGCAAGTCAATAGATTCAAGCACCAGTTTGATATTTATTGAGGGTGCACCGAAACAGATCCAACCACATTTTTCAAGGTTGAAGTTTAGGTTCCATGTGGAGGACCATGCAGTTACTCTATCTAGTTCTTCCTGAACAGCTTTCTGAAAGTATCCTAAGTCATCACAGTGGAATGTGTAAGCTACTTTAAGATCATCTGCAAAGATGAGTGGTTCACCAAGTGAGAAACAGCTGCATATGTCGTTGACATATAGAGTGAATAGGAGGGGGCCTAAGACGCTACCTTGAACTACTCCAGAAGTGACTGGACTGGGCTTAGAATTTACAGACCCCAGTCTAACTACTCGGGACCTATCGTTGAGGAGTGATTCAAGCCATCCTAATAATGGGTTACGTATTCCTAAGGAGTTCAGCTTATTGATTAGAAGCAAATGGTCAACGCGGTCAAAGGCTTTGGAGATGTCGAAGTAAATGACTAATACTAGTTGTTGTTCGTCTCGGCTACTGGTTATATAGTTAAAGAAGTCAAGGTGACATGTCATGCATGATCTGGATTTTAGGAATCCACGTTGGTTGGGACTTAGAATATTGCAGCGGAGCATACGTTTGAGAATATCGCCCCTAACTATTCTTTCAATAATTCTAGATGCTATGGGTGTAATATTGATTGGCCTATAGTTGCTGACTTCAGTTTTCGATCCGGATTTGTGTTTGGGTACTATAAAAGTGGTTTTCCATTTATCTGGATAGGCTTGGCTTTCTAGGGACATTGTAAAGATCTTAAGTAATAAAGAGGAAATTTCAGAAACATCGTGTTTATAAAAATACGATGGTATGCCGTCAATACCAACACTACTAGAGTTTTAAAGAGTTTTAATGGCATGGTTAATATTAGAATAAGTGAAATGAACTGTACTGGTTTGTTTCAGCGTTGAATAAGAAGGAAGTTCCACTGTAGATTGTAAACCAAGAAGTGGGCTTATGGGCTTAAGGTAGTTAGCTGCAAACGCCTCGTTAAACAGTTCACACATGTCTGCATGGTTGCTGTATAGTTTACCCTTGTTTATAATAAGGGAAATTTTATGGCTTTGGCGATTCATTCGTTTCTTTAGGATTTCTGTGAGAGCACCTACTCTGGTGGTGCTGGCTAGTGCGATGCATTCTTCATTTCTCATACGCAAGTTATGAGCCTGCGAGATGGAGCTAAGAGTACTAAGTATTGACCCTAGTGTACTAAAGTCGTGTCGTCTGAAGTAACTTGTTGACAGTCTCTTCAGTTTTGAGCGATCTTTTGGTTGAATAAATTGCTCCTCAAATTTTGAGACTTTTATTGTTTGCATTGGGATGACAGCGTCTAAGCATGTGTTTGATTTATAGTAAAAGATGTCTAGAGCTTTCGAGAGGTTATCAGTATAGAAGTACTCTCTCCATTCTGAGGATCTTAACATTGATTTCACTAGAGTCCAGTCTGCCTTACTGTAGTTCCTGTATGTTATTTGTTGTGAAGTAGGGGCATGAGTTGCAGTGCTACTTGGTGGAAGTGGCAGTGCACACAGCACTGTTTTGTGGTCACTCCCTGAAAACTCGGAACCTACTAGGGTAGAAAGGGGACTTACATTGTGGCAGAAGATTAAGTCTAGTACGTTATTACCTCTTGTAGGGGATGTGACAGTCTGTTTCCAGCCAAGTATATCCAGTGTGCCCAAGAACTTATCAAGTTTAGTTGGACCTGTGGGCATATCCCAGTTGATTTCAGGTAAGTTGAAGTCTCCACATAGGACCTTACGATCGTATTGTAAGGTGGATAATTGCTCCAGAGTATTAATAAGTTGGGTCTCGTAATTACTAAAGGTGCCAGGTGCTCTGTAGGTGCATCCAATTAATACTATTGCGTTATTTAAGTGTAAGTTAACCCATAGAGTCTCAGGCATGTTAGGTGTACTATTTTCTAGCTGTGATACAGTAAGTGCATTCAGAAAGTACATGAGACAACCCCCTCCCTTTCCACCTTCCCTGTCACCCCGCAAGTGTGTGTAGTTATCTAGGCTTATCTCTTCATCCAGTATGTTCGAATTACACCAAGATTCAGTGATGACAATTATAGGGGGTTTGTGTATTACTGTGAGTGCTCTGAGCATCGGTAGTTTATTTAGAACAGATCTAGCATTTATGAGGATCAGGTAAAGATGAGATTTGAAATAGCGTTTGAAGTATTTAAGCTCGTTAATCAGCCCCGAATATGGTTCAGCACCCAGTAGTACTGTTGG